GGGGGGGAGAATTCATGTTGTAGAGATCCAGATTCCCATTGGATGCCTGGAAACAGTGCAACGCGTGATCATCAAACTTTATTTTGAAAAGCTGGCAAGTACAAGTCAATGAAGTGGGCAGTCACTTTCTTGGTGCTGACTTTTTTCATGATAAGTCCATGGAATGATAAGGTCTGGTTTGGGCAACTGACTAAATTTAATACCAATAGGTTACCTCTAGTTGTCTTGCAAAACACTCCATTTTCACAGTGGACATTGATAGAGTTAGAGCAGAGCTGCGCACTTTCCATAACCACTGACACAATGCAGATTTTGAGAAATAACCATACCTTGGGAGGCAACACTAGCCACATGGCAGGATCCTATAAGATGGAAGGGTATGATGAAAAAGAAAATGCATTTATCCTTCTAAAAGACAATGTGTAGATTGATGAATAGTGACTGGAACCAAAATCCTGCAGGAGCTGAAACATCTAAATGATGAAGATAATGGAAGACAAACAGATTCTTCCACATGCCAGCCTGTAGGATCTTGTTCAAGAGTCAAGAGAATGAGATAGGTTACAAATTTGATGCCACAAAATGTGAAGAAGCCTGCAAGCCTCAATATCCAGGGGAAAAAATACTTCATCTGGAGGAGTTAGTGGACCAATCAAGTAAGGGTAGGAGGAATAGATCCCTGAAAGAAGAGGGATCTCAATGATAGGAGCCCCTAAACGGAGAAGCTCATACCAAATAACACTGCACAGCCAGAAAAACACACAGAAGGTGATCCAGGACCAAATGAGCATAGAGGTGAGAGATAAAAGGGAGGGAGGAGCAAAAGAGTGATTACCTTCCAGAGCAGCTAAGGTCTTGAGAAGAAAAGCCTGGCCTGGGAAGAGGAGTAAATGAGTAAGTTAAAAGAGATTGTGAGAAACATTGATAGCATATACATCCAAAGGATAACTACCACAGGTGAGAAGGAGAAAGATGTACTCCTTCAAGCCACCCAGTAACCACCTATGATGGAGACTGACAATTCATGGTCAAACAACCAAGTGAAAAATGTCTAAAGTGGGCCACAGTAGGACAGCCCAGAAGAAGGGAGTGGCAGATAGACCAAATTCGAGAATCTCGCTACTTCTGTTGGTAAACAAAGTTGAATGATGACAGGAATGAGATAAAAAGAAGGCGATACAATCGGAGAGTCTGGCACTGCAAGCAATGGACCAGGCAAGGAGGAGACGAAGACAACAACAGGCATAAAGAAAAAAATTATACCAGTCCTGGCTGAGAGTATTGACTGTCACAGCCAAAGGACGAGGAACTGGGGTCCAGAAGAATGGAAGTTTGGTGTTGAGAGGAGTGGCAACTGAAAGCAAACCCAACAAAAAACCTGAGAATGAAGAGACCACTCTATGGGTAGAATCCAGTTCACCTGAGAGAGGCAAGTGAACACAACATTAGATGGCAAAGATGATGATCGAGAAATAGCTATTAATATCAAAGGAGGTATGTATGTTTTGGAATTATTTTTCTAATTGTCTGAATCTTGAATACCCAAAGTGTGAAATTTGTCTATGGATTTTTGTTTGTGGTGCCATTCAATAGATGGCACTACACTATATTTACTATTTCGGTTAGATACATAGATAGATACATATACATACACTATGCCCATTATAGTAAGATGTATCAATCTGATCTTCACATTTTTACATCAAATACATATAACACATCTGCTCTATATATTTTTGCATATATTACTTATAATTTAAAAATATAAAGAGAATATTGATAAGTTAATCATTCATAACTTTCTACATCTTCTACAGATTCTTATATTAATTATATAACTTATGAACCTGCTCTACAGATCTTTACATTAACTAACCATAACTTGTCTATCTGCTCTACATGTCCTTTAACTAATTATCTGTAACTTTTCTATCTGATCTACACATTAATCATCTGTAAGTTACCTATCTGCTTTACGCATCCTTACATTAGTTATATATAATTTGTGTATCTGCTCTACACATTGTTATTTTAATTATCTGTAACTTTTCTATCAGCTCTACACATTCTTACATTAATTATCTGCTCTACATATTCTTTCAATGACAAGCTATAAATTATCTAGAACTTTTCTATCTGATCTACACATTCTTACATTAATCATCTGTAAGTTACCTATCTGCTTTATGCATCCTTACATTAGTTATATATAATTTGTGTATCTGCTCTACACTTTGTTATTTTAATCATTTGTAATTTATGAATCTGCCCTACACATCCTTAATTATCTGTAACTTTTCTATCTGCTCTACACATTCTTACATTAATTATCTGCTCTACATATTCTTTCAATGACAAGCTATAAATTATCTATCTTTCTACATATTGTTTCAATAACATGCATCTATAATTTATTCAGTCATTCAAGCTTCATTTGTTCACTCAGGAAAATTTAAAAAAAAATCTTTGTTAACAGTGTGCACGAGGAAACCCACAAAGTGTTGTACAATGGCTGTAATGTCCTCAACAGACAAAGAGCCCCTAGTAACTACAGAAGACACAGGTCCTGTGTATTACTAACATTGTCGCCATCACATGACCAAGTTATAGTTCCATCACTTAAGAATTCATGTAAGGTTCACTTAAGAAATAGTTAAGCTAGAACAGAATTAAGTTATATTTACTATTACTAGTCTCATGGAATTGAACTATATTATACAAAAAACACATATGTTCAAGATAATGCAGAGGAAAATAAATTATCTACAGAGCAAGTGCTTAAGGGGTGGTACCATGTGAGGAGGTTGTGTCACCCTCCTTTTAGTGGAAGGCTATTGTTGTATGATGTCATCATCACACACTAGTACAGTTCATGTTAAACACAGGGATTTTTAGGTAGGAGTTAGCTCAATGCTTGGCATGCAAATCTCATAAGCAGATGTGTGAGGAATAGAGCTATTCTGTGTGAGGAGGTGAAATACTATCTTGGAACTTGTAAATTAGGAGAACATCAGTAAAATAGGAAAGCTAAATAGGCTTGAAAGTATTTTTGGCAATGAAAGAGTATATAATCAGCCCTCCAATTACATGGTATCTTTATATATGATTTCACTCGACAGAGTCAAGTAATTTTGTCTTCATTTTTAGGTGCACGATATTGATTCACTTTCACATGGAACTGTTTATGTACATTTCTTTTGCATATATTTTACGTAATTTTACATAAAATAAAACGAGTGCAATTTTCTCCCAGAGCTGCTTCCCACTACTCTGCTCTCAGTGCATTTTAGGCTCTTGTTACAGAAGCATCCCTCAATCTCCTTTGTAAGTGTTTATTATAAGTGGTAATTATTGTAAGTGTTATTTATTAGTGGTAATTAAACTCATCATCATCATCATCATAGACAGCAGTACGTCGATAATTCTACCGATGCTTAGCTGCCACACAATCATGAATTATTATTACAACTCATGATAAACACTTATTAAGGGTGATAATACCACAGAGTGGAAACTGAAAGAAAATAGCCCCAAAAAAGTGATACCCAAACTGTAAAGAGGCCAAAAAGCATCAACTTTAATACAAAAAGTGGAATTGTAGAAGGACTTGCTAAAGGTAAAGGCTCATCATCTGCGGCTAGAGCTTTGGGCCTTAATGAGTCGACTATTTGCGTACGGTGAAGAGAAATAACGAAAAAATTAGATCAAGTGTGTCATAATAAAGCCAAACAACTGCCCATCACCAGCTTTTTTTTGCAAGTCTGCCAACACCAGCATCACTCTACACTCAGCAACCAAACTCGATCCCAACATCCCAGTCTCTCATCATTAAAGTTTAATAGCAAGTTTAAATTTCATTAAAATTGTTTAATAAATACTTGTTTAAGGTGTAACACTTGCTAAACATAAGCACTTGTATTTATAATAAAAACATTTGTTTAACACTTGCTTAGAAATTTGGTAAATAAATATATGTAATGGTAATTACCATAAACTTTTGATGTCTTGTAAAATGCATATTTTCTAGAGGATATGATGGATATTATCACAGGGTTATCTTGGAAGCCTAGAACCTAAATCCCATATTTTCCATAGGGCTTTAGTATTTTTTACACAATTTCAATTTAAATGGTGTTTTCCATGTAATGGAGAGCCAGCTGTAATAAACATTGATGTCTGAACAAAAACTCAGTCTTAAAAATATTCATTTCTAGTCCAAAAATCACTAATGCATATACAATTTATAAACCATTAACAAAACTTACGAATAACGTATGGTCAAAACTATTTAGAAATGATTTAAGTTGAATATTTACAATGTTATTATATATTAGCTTTTCTCATCAACATGTTTAACGTTAATACCAAAAACTTCATCTCCACATACTTTCTTGTTATTCCAAGGTATTTGTCAAGCAATGTACATGTATAGTAGTCTATTGGTAAGTCAGCATAGTAATAAAATTATGTGTATGATGTTCTGCAGTATGATGAATAAATAAAGAATATTCATATCAAACCTCATCTACAGCACTTAAATTGATCCTTTCTTCTTCTCCATTGGCTAAAAGAGGTCCACGCCACTGAAGAATCAGAGAAACACAAGCTGCTCTTCTTTCTTGAGTAGATAAACTACGAATTAAATTTCCTTGGCATGCCAGGTGTAAAGCTGTTTTATTGCTACCATTTTTTTTATTGGGATTTCCACCCAACTCATTCAAAAATATCCTAAAAAAAAGATAAGTTTATGTTAATATAAAAGTCTGTATACTAGAAACAGTTTGCAAGTTTGTGTACTCGGATATGCATATGTACTTTTAACATATTAAGATCACATTTATAGCATTTTCACAAAGAGGAAGTTTTAATCTTAAATTATTTGTTAGTTTGAACTTATAATATATTTAATGGTATGACTCCACGTTATCATATGAAAGTCGACTTATCTAAAGCTATTTGTAAATGGTATTAAGTATCATATGTTTGTTTGTAATTAAGCACAAAGCTACACAATGGGCTATCTGTGCTCTGCCCACCACGGGTATCAAAACATGGATTCTATCATTGTAAGTCCGTTGTAATTACAAGGGGCAGTATCATATGTAGTGTATTATATATATTTTCTAGAGCATTAAAGTAAGATAACTTTTTTATGCACATAATTACAATTCAAATGCCTTGAGGGCCTCTTGAACTTGGTAAAAATCACGATTGTACTTTCATTGTCATTTTCAAATGGCTTGATTTACAGTCATAATATTTGGTATACAGATTCTCTGTGAACAAATCTGCTATTTTAATATAACAGAACTAATATATTACCAAATTTTATGTTTCATTTTGCAAAATATCTTGTTTTGAAAAATCATAATTTTTGGAATACAATGCTTTATTGGCAAATAAAATGACACTTATGTAACATTTTTATATATTGATTATAGATATGATTAAGGTTTATCATTATAGACAGATAACTCAGTAATACTTATAAATTTAATAAAAATCATCGAAGTAGTAACATCTATCATATTATGAACTGTTAACATTGTGAATGTAATATTACAAATTTTCACTAGACGGCAGATATTAGATGATCAGCTTATTACTGTAATTATTTTATTTGTTTTTTTATAACTAACTAGATGGCACAGATGTGTTTTAGTAAATATAACTGAACCAAATCAATAACTGAATATGTCTGTTTAAAGAAACATATTTGTCAAACTGATATAAAAAGAACGTATAAATTTTTCTTATACATGTCTCAATCTTTCAATGTATTAAATAGATGGGAACTTACTGTTTCATTGCTTCTAAACTTTTTTTAGATAGCAAAAAATATATATTGTAACCAAGGATAAAAAATCAAGTCATTATTAAACAACAAATTTTGCATGTGTGATAGAAAATCATGTTTCTTAGTTCACATGAAATAATAGTATCATTGAACACACAGCTACTTTGTAGTCTGTATATACGTTTCTGTTGTCATTGTGTTTCAGTGTTCTCGGGTTAAGCTATACTACAATGTGTGTTTTTACAGTAAAGCCACATCAAGTTATCTGCTGTGTCCACCAAGAGGAATCAAACCCCTGATTTTAGCATAGTAAATCTCTAGACTTACCACTATCTTACCAGGGAACCTATATTACAATAACAAAAGTCATAAGGATTAAACCACTTGCTGTAATTGGACATTTTATGAAATGTACAATTGTAGAAAATGGCTATAACTATAATCGAAATGCAGATATGAGTTTCTAGTATTTTCACTATCATATAAATTCATGTTCTGTAATTTTTAGTGTTCCTTATATATACTACCATATGATTCTATTATTCATTAGTTGAAGAATTATGTCATTATTATTTGTAGTAATGTCAAAATTAACAAAAGCTGATGAGAATAACACTACATTTCCTTCAAATTTCCACAACACAATTATACTCAGATGATTCTTGTTCTCAAGGTCAATTCCACCTTATTTATATAAAAATTTTCACTAAAGTATTTACTAAAATACTGTTTAGTAGTGTATTGTAAAGTTTGTTTATAACATTAATCAGGAGTGTACTATAAACTTACAGTGATATATAAGTGTTCCAGTCACATAAATACAAATAAGAGATATAATTGGGACTTTGAATAAGTCAAAAATATCTTGTTAAAAACAAGATAAAACTAATAGTAAAGATTGACAGCAAGATTTTTTAGAAGCAAAGCCAATATTATCAACGATTGTTTTAAGATATGTGGGTTGATGTGTAAGTCAAGGACCACTGCACTTGCTTCGATGGTAAGTACAGAGGTTAGTGCAACTGGTTTGTTTGTACTCCCCCCCCCCCCCCCACGTGTCTTCTCTCCCCAGCCTTTTGTGCTTTAGAAAGACCAAATATATAATACCTACCTAATTCACTTGGAATCAAGATCAGTAATGCATCATATAGTTTACATGTATTATTTTTATGGCAGTATTTACAAAATCATCAAATGTCGAGATGAAAACAGAGTTCAAATGCTCTAAAGTCAACTGTTCAGTTATGAAAATACAGAAAGAAACAGTAATGTACTTTAATACCCTGAAAGGGGTCATTGGAGAATAAATAAACTTTAGAAAATTCCTTATTGTATGTTTCCATTTCTTAGTAAAACACAGCATATTTCGATATATCCTCAAATTTCTATAAATTACAATACAATAGTAAATATAAATAATCAGTGAATATATATTACAGAATGTCCGTGGAAAACTTGTTTGTTTCCCTTACATGGCAAGCACCTCCTTATGATTATGTTTTTAATTTATAATCATCAAAATAACGAGAACATTAATGATGATTAATGACCAAAAAGAGCAGTCTTTCAACTTTCTTTTGAATGAAAAGGAAACTGTCCTGTTTTATATGGCAAGATAACTTCATATCCCTTTTGCACACTTTTATTTTCACATTATCTTATATTCTGAACAAATATACACTAAAAACTAAGAGTTGCACGTGATAACAGTTGTCAAACAAACACAATAGCCTGTTTGTTACCACTGGATATCTGGTGTATTAATTGATCCAATGGTATTTACAGGCTCATAAATGAAAAAATCTTATTCGCACAATTATTACAATATTACGTTACTATGTGAAAGCAATTTTTGACTGACCAATTACAGAAGTGCTCTTGTGTGGTTTGACCAAAAACTGAATTTTATTGGTCACAATTACCAGAATTTCATTTGAAGATAGCTACTGAAAAATTATCCACATTTATTTCTAAACAAATCACATTACTAGTCAGAGGGGAATATAACTGCATTACTGCTGCAATGTTGCCCTAAATCAGCAATTATTACCAAAGCTGGGTAAATCATACCCTTAAGTATAACTTATTTTACATATTACAAAACAATACTGAATTTAATAAAATATTTCCATATCCTGTGTTTAATAGACACCAGGGTAATGTTCATTATTGTGTATGTTCAAAAACATAACATGTTGAGGTGTATATTTTGAAAAAGTGAAAAGCTGAACTAGATTTGAAATCTTTATGATTTTTCAAAAAATCTTTCTAAATCATTTTTAATTACCCTTATGAATGTAATAACACTTTTTCAAATACTTCATTTCTTAAAATCCTCAATGGGGTCCATAACTTTCAAAATGAATTCACTATGTAATACTTATTTTTGCACATTTGTTCCTTCAATCTCATATGTAAATATGAGACCTGCAAGAAAGGAATCATCCTCTTTTTTGCATTTTGCATCAATTACTAAGTTTAACCACACATGTTTATGTTTAGAGTTTGATAATTTAGATATTGTTCAAAATATTTATACAAGGTTTCAATAAGAAATATTTTTGTTTTAGATAAAAATATTTCCTCATTGTTTCTTCAGAAAAATTTGATTACATCTGTACTACTTCTCTTTCAGTGGCAAAATTCCATGAAAATGCTCATTGATAATGGCCTCACCATCTAGTTGTGACAAACCAAATGATCACTGCCATCTCTTCTGTCTGAGATTTACATCTGTAGTATGGTCAACCATAACTTGAGTAATGCTTGGCACATCTAGAGGCAGTCATCAAAAGTTTGGATCATGTTGAACAACAATTTAATAAGCTCATTGTAACGAATTTGTTGTCATGTATTTATTTTTAATATGAATGTAACTTATAGTGTCAGATATGTATTGCATGTAACGAATTTGTTATATATTTATTTTAATGACAACGTTTGTTGGGATTGAGTTTATATTTAAAAATGTGCCTAGCTTAGAGTGTCAGTTATGTTTGGCAAAAATCCTGCCAATTCTCCAAGATTGTAGAGTATTTGTGAATGCAAGAATCAACAATATATCCCCTTCCATAACCTCAGTAAAAAATGTGCCTAGCTTACAGTGTTAGTTACATTTGGCGAAAATCCTACCAATTCTCCAGGATTGTAGAATATTTGTGACTGCAAGAATCGACAATATATCCACTTCCGTAACCGGTTAAACATAGTTCAGTATTGTTGTCTGAACTTTTGAGAAAATCATTTCTAGCACCTATAAAACAGGCAAAGCAATGCACCAAAAAGAGAGAGTTTATAAGTCTGCTAGGAACCTGTTATAATTGTTACGTTATAAACCGTTATTTTGCTAACCCTTATCAACCGGAAAATATAATACATTTGACCAGGAACAGTTATAAATTTTAAATGTCAGTGTATTTTCATCGGACGTTAGTATCTTTTCAAAAGTATTACTGAATTCTCATCGGACATTAGTGGTTTTATGAAAATATTATCTTACTTCAACGGTCC